TCTGTCCTGTCTATATGGCTCTCTGTCCTGTATGGCTGTATGTCTCTCTGTCCTGTCTCTCTGTCCTGTCTGTATGTCTCTCTGTCCTGTCCTGTCTCTCTGTCCTGTCTGTATGTCTCTCTGTCCTGTCCTGTCTCTCTGTCCTGTCCTGTCTCTCTGTCCGGTCTGGCTCTCTGTCCTGTCCTGTCTCTCTGTCCGGTCTGGCTCTCTGTCCTGTCCTGTCTCTCTGTCCGGTCTGGCTCTCTGTCCTGTCCTGTCTGTATGTCTCTCTGTCCTGTCCTGTCTGTATGTCTCTCCTGTCTATATGGCTCTGTCCTGTCTGTCTTGTGTCTCTCTATCTCATGTCTGTTAATCTCCCTGCCTTTCTATCTGGACTTGTCTTGTCTGTCTAACTGCACCTGAACTGTCTGACTAGCACCCCTGTCAGCGTGTATGTTAGTGACGAGAGGCCCTGGCCCCGTTCTCCCTGCCCGCGCTGCACTCACTGCCGTTGCTCATTAATTCTACACGCGTGTCCCAATGTTGGGGGTGCAGAGCTACCTTCAGAATCGGCGCCAACACGCATTCAGCTGGCTTTTCAGTTAAGCACCTCTGAGGCTGCGGAAGTAAACGTGAAAGAGCTGTGCCGTGCCCACGTCTGCCCACCTTGCTGATTTTTGTTCTGGCGGATTCTGCTTTCCTGCATAAAATGTCGCCATTTTTTTTTTTCCTCTCTCAAAACAATTCCTGCAACATTTTGTAGTGCATACTTAAGAAAAAAAATATATACTACTAATGATGATGATGATGATGATGATGATGATGATGATGAAGATTAGTTCACTCACTGCATTTGGTGTCATGTGATATTAGGAGTCAAATATGCAGGCACTGAATTTGCTGCTAATGCCTTTAATAGGTATAAAAACCCATTAATTGGTAAACTGACCACATTGCAATGCTGAGTGAGAAATATTCTGTCCTGACAGTTTGTAATGAGGATCTCAAAAGTGAAAGTTTGGTGCCTGGGGCCAGGAATCTCATCCTGCTTTTGCGTAAGCTGCATTCAGACCTAGGAAACATCATCTGCCCTCTGCTGGTCTGGAGGAATATCACTGCAGTACGCTTATGCCGACCACAACCATCCGCATGCACAGCCAAATGTAGTACGAACACAAGCTGCCATGCAGACAACCGTCCACAGCCTGGAAGCACACGTGGAAAGTGTAAAGTATGAGCTAGGCTTTACTGATACCACCACCTCAAAGGCAGCCTTCTCTATCCCCCACCCCACCCCCCGCCAAGGTACTATACAGAGGCAGGACCACAGGGACTCTGGCTCCAGCTGAAAGCTGATTGGCCCCTGGAATGCCTTTCCCATCTCACTCAGCAGTTCAAAACACATTATTGGCTAATAAGGTCGACCCCTCTGTATGAATAAAGGTATTCAGGAGACTCTAAAGTTGCGTCCTTTTTTCCAGGCCAATCCGTGTTTATATCTCCAGTGTTGGGTTTGGCACTAACTGCAGAATTGTGGCTAAAATACTTGTTTGAAAAGCATAGGTCAGCCGACATTTGATAGCTGGGAAAAGCACAGAAATTAAATATAACGTAAATTGTATGACAATGGCCAAATTAAGACACTTGCATGACGCTTTTGAAAGTAATTCCTCCATCTTCAGCAAACGTGGCTATACTGCAGACGAAAGAGATTTCAGTGGTATTGGATGTGTGGTGTGTTGGATGCTAATCTCTCTGTGTTGTCTCTGTCCGCTCCCCTTTTCTGTCCTCTGGCTTTACTGCTTTCAATCATTTCAGCAGGACAGGAATAACCTGGTGAGTAGCTCTCCATGCCGACCAATCAGAGGGCCCATGCTCTCTTGGACCCGCCTTCTCACTGTCCTCCCAACTTTGCCATGCTCTGTGTATGTGTGGATTGCTGCATGTGCTGTACTACAGCTGCTCGCTGTGGCTGGACCAGCTGGTTAGCCGCTAACGCTTGGTTACGCTCTGTAAATGACCACACAGGAAAATTTCCATTTTAATTGGCAATTCCTGTTAATAAATTGGCACAATGATACATTTAAAGGGTGATAAATTTATCTGAAGTGCTGAGCACGGCTAAGCTATGCGATGGCTAAGCTACACTACAGCTTTACCCTGTCCCATTCTCTCACCTCATCTCTGTTTTAACCAATCGGTCGGCCCACCATTCGCTGTGGCTTACCTGTCACATGTTCAAAGCTATGGTTAATGGTATCTGCCATGACCGTGATGGTGACTGGGGGGTATTGGGTGAACTGGACCTGCCGTTGACCTCTCGACTCTACTCCGTCACAGAACCCAAACCACAAACCTGTCGTCCTGCGGAAGAGGAGACAGCGAATCAAGATCGAGGCCAACTGGGAGCTTTTCTACTACAGGTACTGCCCCCTAGTGGCTGGGAACCTGGGCTGCAACCTGCCAGTCTTTGTGCCACATTGACCCCTGTTATAAGTATGCCCCCCCCCCAGCTCTGTGTGTGAAGTTTGGTTTGCAAGATCACCCCATTTGTGAGTTTCCTTCTACAGTCCAAAAACATGTACTTGAGCTAATTGCTGTTTCTGAAATGTAATGGTTCCGGGGTGGCCAATCTTATCCACAAAGGGCCGGTGTGTATGCGGGTTTTCAC